GCCGACACTCATTATCGATAAAATTGTAATACCAACTTCATATAGTTTAAAAAAAAAAAATCTTAACATGAATAATTTTAACACATGCATGAATGATTTTTGGTTTATACATGTGTTAAAAAATATGTTTAATATTAACTTTGAGCTAGCATACTTACTAACATTGTTAGTTGAGTTGGTTATGGATATATCGTACCTATATATATTTTTATCTTAATTATGATATTTAAGAGAAAATTCTGCACTTATTATATCTTGTAACATAATTCCTTAACGTTATATTAAGATGGCCGGATCTGAGATTGTTGAACAAAAAAAAAAAAAGGAAACCTCTCTCGTCTCACATTTCTTGACCTTTCTTATAATGTACTGGTAGGTGAGATTCCTTCTTGAGTAGGCAACCTAAACCAGCTAGGAAACCTTAGCCTTGGGAGTAACGGTCTTAGAGGAGAAATTCCTTCTTCATTAGGGAACCTTTCTCGTCTCTTAGAACTTGAACTTGAACTTGGGTATAATAATTTGGTAGGTGAAGTTCCGACTTCCATCGGAAACCTAAAGGAGCTAAGAATCATGTGGCTTAGCGATAACAGCTTAAGTGGCAATATTTCTATTTCCTTTGCCAATTTAACCAAGCTTTCCTATTTTAGTCTCCGCTATAATAACTTCACATCCACGCTTCCATCTGACATGACTGGATTCCACAACTTGGAGTATTTTGATGTTAGTGAAAACTCATTTCTCGGGCCTTTCCCTAAATCTTTGTTCTCGATTTCTTCGTTGCAAAAGGTTGGTTTGGGAGAAAACCAATTCACGGGACCTATAGAGTTTGTGAATACATCTTCATTATCTAAGCTTCAATATTTATACCTTAGGTATAACAATTTCAATGGCCCAATCCCGGAATCCATATCTAAATTTCTCAACCTCGAAATCTTAGATCTTAACCACAACAAACTCACCGGGCCAATCCCTAGATCTATATCAAAGCTAGTCAACCTCAAATATCTTGATCTAGCACACAACATGTTGGAAGGTGAAGTACCAAGTTGCTAATGGAGATTGGTGACGGTGTGGCTTTCTCACAATTCTTTCAGCAGTTTTGAAAAATCTTCACAAAAAAGACAGATCCATGAGTTAGATGTGAAATCGAATTCATTCCGGGGACCATTTCCCCATTGGATATGCAAGCTTAAAGGTTTAAGCTTCTTAGATTTGTCCAACAATCTCTTCAACGGCTCAATCCCTTCATGTTTATGGAATCTCACTTTGGATTTGACAAAGCTAAGTTTGCGGAACAACAACTTTAGTGGAACTCTTCCAAATATATTTGCCAATGCTACAAAGTTAACATCATTGGACGTTAGTGGCAACGAGCTGGAGGGAAAGTTTCCAAAGTCATTGATCAATTGCAAAGCTCTGCAACTTGTGAATGTGGAAAGCAACAAATTGAAGGACAAGTTCCCATCGTGGTTGGGATCTCTTCCATCATTAAATGTTCTCAGCCTCAGATCAAACGAGTTCTATGGGCCATTGTATCAACCCATTGGGTTTGAGAGTTTAAGAGTCATTGATATTTCTCACAATGACTTCATTGGAACGCTTCCATCTTTCTATTTTTCCAACTGGAGTGCAATGACGACATTAACCGAAGAAAATGGTTTGTACACGGACGATTTTGCGAATTATTCTGTCATCTATCAGTCGATGGAAATGGTGAATAAAGGAGTAGATACAGAATTTGACCGGATCCAGAAAGACTTCATAGCGATTGATGTATCTGGAAACAAATTTTACGGCAAAAAATCCCTGAATCCATTGGTCTTCTCAAGGAATTGCGTCTTCTCAACTTCTCAACCTGAAGCTGTATAGTAAAGTTTATATGGTGGAAGAAGCTAATCCCATGAGATGTTTACATAACATCTCAATTTTTTTCTGAAAAGTTTCATTTGCATCACAAAGTAAGTACACAGCCTAATATTCATGTGTAGATGCCAATCTTGACTACATGACCAAACACCAACCTCAAAAAATCACAATTAACGCCTTGGTCGTAATTGATGGTTTGTGTCGGGATTCGGCTACAAAGGACCAAATCCGAGGCAGTTCTAGGTAGGGCAAGAAGGAGCAGGAATAGTAGCCGCCGCCGTTTCAGGTAAACACTAACCCTAACCGCTGTGGAGTTGACTTCCGGGGCAAGAAACTGCTGGATTTTTGAAGCTCTTTGTTCTAGAAGCATGATACCGTAAACGCCTGTTTTCTCTGAAGATTTTCCATCTAATAAATTAGTTAAGAGATTTAAAATGGATTAATTGTCTTCTCCGAGACAAATCAGTGTATTTGTTGCTGGGGTTGTTCCTCCTTATAGCTTTCTAGAACAGTCTCTGCGCAATTAAATCTTTTGATTTGTCAAACCAAGTTTTTAGATGGACACAGTGTAGGGATCTGTAAAAACTGATGGTTTGATGAAGAATTCAAAGTCGAGAGGTTTCTGATTCTTTGTCTGTTTGACTCTTAATGGCACATCTGTTAAGTTTCTTTTGAGTGGTTTATACATGAATACAAATTGCTTGTTTTTGGTTTCTAGAAAACC